TGTACGGTAATAATAATAATAAAAAAAACGTTTCAAACACATGAACAGGGCGGTCTGGTTTATTATATAGCTCTGTGTACTAGCGATGGGCGTTGAATCAACGAACTAGTTGAATCAACCGTTGATCTCTTGTTAACGAATTAACTTTAAGACTGTTAGTTCAAACATTGAGGTATATTAGGCGAGAAGATTTGCGACTGTCATTGAAATCAACTAGTTGAATTCGTTAACGTCGTTTCGGAAATTTTGTCGTTGAATCAATTTGTTTAAAAACGCAGTCAACGAAACGTTAAATCAACGGAACATAAGCGTAACGAATTGAAAACCTTACGTTGAAAAAAACGTCACAGAGTTGAGTTGAAATGTTTTTTTAATTTTATGAAGGACATGTTTAAGTTCGCCTTCTTTATTTTTGTTTGATGGTTTGTGAATAGTTGCGCGCAAGGTTATAGAATATTTTGCAGCTTTGCGTAAATATTATCAGAACTTTACTTCAGGTTTAGTGTTTTTTTTTTGTGAATTTGTTAATTTTTAATTAATTATATTTGGAATTTTATTTTATGGTATTAGTTTTGTTTATCAGAATTTTACTTTGTGGTTAGTGTTTTTTTATTTTAATTTATAATTATTTAAGTGTATAGAGGACTGTGGGTACAAAATTCAAAATAATTGAACGTATTAACAGTGAGTTATGGCTTCATACCTAAAAAGACAGTTCTAGCGGAAAAGCTGTTTGTAATGTATGCAAGGAGAAAATATCGAACAAATTGACCACTTTAACTTTAAAAAGTACTTGAAGCGGAAATATATTTAAATATTTTAATTAGTGTTTTAGTACCAATCTTTAAACACCAGCGTATGATGATTGATTTGTATTTGTCACGTTAACTAGTTGACGAATTTAACTAGTTGATCAACTAGTTGACGAACATGAATCAACGTTAACGTTAAGTTGAAGAAAATACCTTCAACGACCCATCGCTACTGTGTACTGAGGAGAGTTTTGCCCAGTAAGGGGGTAAATTTGGATTCTGTTACTTTTTTACCGGACTGTCGAACGAATTTAACATTTTTAACGAATGTATTCTGAACTATATAGTACATATGTATATATTTATTTGTAGGCATGCATTTATATTTCTTTGAAACGATCAGCAGTGCAAACGGTTTGAAAGATCCTGAAATTGAATTCGTATTGATTTCGGGAGTGACAGAGCACAATTTAGTTATATATGTTTAAGTAATCAATAATAGGAGCTGCAATACAACCCGGGCTAGATGGTATCTCAAAAATTTTAAACCTTGACACTAGACAAATTGTATTTGGCGACGTAAATTGTAACTCGACGTGATAAGCCGCCCACGAGATCAAGTTAACATTTTAAATTGCCTACACGGGATTGACATTTATGTGTTACTAGTTGCTGCCCGCGACTACGACTGCGTAGACGGGTGAAAATTTAGGGTTGTATGTCTTTTTGTATACTGTATCATAAAAAAAATAAAAACAAAAATTAAAAAAAAATGTTAAGGATGAAAAACCATTAGCACTTAGGGGTGTGAAAAATAGATAGTAGCCGATTCTCAGACCTACTGAATATGCATATAAATTTGGTAAAAATCAGTAAAGCCGTTTCGGAGGAGTAAGGTATTTAACATTGTGACACGAGAATTTTATATACAAGATTATTGAATATTTATTTATGTGTTATTATTGAATCTTCAAACCCAGTGTTTTTTCACTAAAATAATTTTATAAACCTCAAGTTTTCCCTAACGAGGCATGCATGTATACATGCGTGACCTTACGCGTAGAGACCTAACAAGCCCGTAAGAAAGGTAATAACCTTTCTACAGGCCCTGTGACCTATAAAGCTTTAGACAGCCGTTAAGTCTGAAGGCGAAACCATAAACAGAGACATGCAAGCCAACCTTAATGTACTTGCGGACAATTGTATTAAGTAATAAATATAATGCATTTTTGGCGGCGATTCCATAAATAATTGGTGAAATATCGAAAATTAAATTTCATGGATGCGTTTAGGCACATTTCGTTACGCGTGAGACAAGAAAGTGGCGCATATTATGCAGCGCGAGAAAGAGAAAGAATACCATAAATAAAATCTTTACTAGTTCATCTTTTTGTTTATTCATTTAGGATATCCGCATTTCCTTTTTGAGAAGTTTCACTTCTATTTTGGCAACTTTTATGTCTTGATTATATTCTATCAACTCAAAACGATCGTTCGCTAGCTAGAAACCGACGAGCTGACGGTGTGACAGGTGATAAGCCTATCGTCGTGTATACGAGGAGGGGACTTGCCGGTTGTTGAGACGTACAGCTGACTATTGCGAATATAAATCAAATGTAATAAACGTGTGCCCTGTCTCGATCCGTCTAAACAATTGACGTTGATTGAGGTCTTTAAAGCGTCTCAATAAATTGGAGATTTTTCAAATGTCGTTACGTTTCCACTATAATCGACGGAACAAAGTAAACAGAAGAGAGGTCTTCAGAATCGCTTACAATGGACCCTTCGTTTCAACGCTGCGCCGTTGTTGTCATTTTGTTCTTGGAAAACTCTCAACAGCACAAAATGTAAAATGTCGCGTAACCACTTTGTGCTCGAGAGCAATCCTATTAGGTGCAGTTTCGTCGAGTACCTCGCGACTTCTTAACTAGTGCATGTTGTGTTGTGCATGGCAATTTCTACCGTCAAGAAGTTATACATATTAGTGCGTTTTGCCATTTAAAAAAAAAACTTCAATTGTAGTTTTTCCTTTTGGAAAATATAAACTGCTTGCAGTTGACTTGTTATTTGCTATTATTCCAGTTTTATTTTAACTCATATCCCCCTGTGGCCCATTTACCAAGGTATCGGCTTCGGCTATCATCGATTCGATTCCCAAAGGGGACAACTATTTGCGTGCTCCAAGAATAAGTTTTGGTTCTGGGTGTTTGTCCACGCGCAATTTATATATGTAAAAGAAATATAAACACTAATTTATTTTGCCTAAAATATACAAATATAAAAGAAAAATGATATAATAAAATCCAATATCGATTCGTCAAATCGAAGTATGACCGTATCGCCGTAAAAACTTTTTTGAAACAATGGGTAATTATACCACTGTATTTAGTACTGCTCATTAGTTCTTATGCCTGAGTGCTCTCATTAAATTTACATTTCGTAAGCAGGGTTAACTTGCGTAATTTAGTTAAATATTCATTTCCAAATGGGAGCGGTAAAAGAAGCCATCATGAGGAAACCCATTTTTTTTTTAAATATATAATTATCTAATACATATTCGAAGATAGATGGGAGTCTTGGTGGACTATGCCCTAAATCCCTAATACTCACTGTAAAGAGGAGACCTTTGCCCAGCAGTGGGACATGTACAGGCAGTTACTTAATTTTTTACTTTTTAATTAACAGAGGGAGGGCTCAAACAAACACACCTTAATTTACAATAACTAAATTGGGCGGCCATGGGAGGTTATTGGTGATTATCCTATTAGTATTATAACTGCAAGACGCTCACACAAAATCAGGAAACTAAATATTGACTTGTTTCTATCTCAGAATTGTAGATCGCCGGTAAATCCCCGTCACAAGACCGAGGGGCACTGATTACTTAATATTATTTATGGTATATATGTCAATTGTATGGCGGTTGACATAGTAGGTTAACGATTAAGTTTTTGTTACGCTAAGGGGTCAATGACCGCAATCAGTTGAGGAATCTACGACCTAGAAGATCTAAAGGTGGAGGATTGAACTAGGTCCCTTTGTTGTCGAGTATCCGCGCAGTCGATTTGCGTCATCGTTCATTCCGCGTAGAGTGAAGTGAAGTGTATGGTGGAATAATGCGCCTCTTTATGGTCGTCTTTAAGAGAAGAGCGGATGTAATTTCGCTTAGCTGATGCGTATATAAGGGTAAAAAGTTAACTTTTTCTCCAACGCTACAAAAGAAGTATCATCATCATAATTCGATTCAATGTTGAACTTTGGCCCCCCCCCCCCCCCCCCCACATAGGCACGAAGCAAGATCCTAAGCCATATGCATCCATTGACTTCGCACACACTTGCAAAGGTCATCACTTTATCAAGTTGGGGGTTGTTCTTCACTACGGAGGTCAATACGAGGCTGCACTCGAGAACTTTCTTCCCCATCAGTTATAGTTACTAGGAGCTACATGGCCGGTCCATTGTCACTTCAGCTTACTAAACTTCTGAGCTTTTAACTGATTTTTATTTAGGTCCTGCTGTACAGTGGGGAACATTGTTGTTATTCGATTTTGTGAAAACGGATTATCCGTTAAAAGGATAGGGTTTATTAAACATTAATGCAATTTTTAAGATCTGGATTCTCAACTTAGTGCTTTAACAGAGAAACAAATCGTTGGTTTCTCTTTGTTCATACAGGCCAAAACGATTACATCAAAATTAATAATCTTCAAAAATTAATTAATTGTAACCATAAGTAGACTGCATAGAATAAGTAAATCTTTTATGGGACCTGTTTTTATGAATTATTATAATATTAGTTATTATTTAAATGATAACCCACTCTGGAAATGATCTCTCCAGGCTGTTTCAAGTGGACTATAATATATTGTATACATATTTCTTTGTCAAATAATGGTATGTTAAAAAAAAAACGATTTTGATATTATGTCCTAAAACGACTACCTTTTTCGAATTCTAATTAAAACAATGGCCGATTTAAGAAAGCTGCATAACGTATACTTCGATCTATTTCACCCCCCTCCAACCACCGGGATTGTTCATAAATGCATAAATCTTTATTCAACGTTTCCCTACGCCGAGGTTCAGGCTAGGCGCCCCGAGCGCCAGGCCACCTCAAGCCTGTCGGTACTGTAAAGGCCCCTGAGGCCAACAGTGGCTCATCAAGCCCAAAAAAAAAATCAACGTTTCCCAAAAAATTATACTTTTTAAATAGGTCACTACAATTCTAAAGGTGCAAAAGCAACTCACCTGCAGCGCCTTCAGCATGGGCACCTTGTCGAGCAGCTCCTCGTAGAGCTTGCGCTTCTTGAAGGCGCTCTTGAGCAGTATGCGGCGGAAGGTGTGGCGGTCCATGGCCCAGAGGGCGCCCGGCGACTGGGCGCGCACCGACGCCGCCCTCGGCATGTTGTACATGAGGGCCAGCTCGCCGAACGAGCCGGAGCCCTCGTACGTGTGCACCACCTGGACGTGACCACGTGTTCAGCACTCGAGGCGGAGGTAACCGTGGTAGAGCAACGCACCACCCTTTGCCAGTACCGCTTGGACAGACGAACGGGCATGCTCGTCCGGGTAAGTACCACGACCTCGCAGAAGACCGGCGTCAAGTGGAAGTGTAATACTTTCGCGTTTCGTCTGGCGAGTGAGGTAGGCGGAGCCCAATTTTCTAGAAGGTTGTCAACGCATTTGTAAATCCTCGGGTGCAGCAGATGCCCATGGGCGGCGGTATTGGCGGTAACCGCCTGCTCGCTTAACAACTTTTTACATTAAAAAAAAGACAGGCTGGACCCTTTATCAGCAACGGCCTCGCACAAGATCCGTAAGAAACAGTAGTTATATGGTCTTGCTTTTCGTCTAGTAAGCAACGCGATGAATGTATAAGATTGACAAAGCAACTGCCAGAGGTGCATCGATTGCCCGTTTTGGAGTTTCCTTTGTTAAATGAGCCTGTGACATTTGCGCCACGACTCATACTCGTACGAGTATGAGAGTGAAGATATTTACATGTCGAGAGTGGGTTCAATCCCACGTTCCATCCTACTCTCGACATGTAAATATTATATGTATATATTTACATGTCGAGAGTAGGATATTGTGTAAAGCTAATTGTCCCGGTAATTTTTTGTCTGCTTGAGTATGCAAAATGTCCCTGCGATGTAGGTTAATGTTACCTCCCACAGTGTAATTAATATTTTTTTGAAAATTGACATTCATGAAACATGTCAATCCAACATATCAATAGTAAATTAAAAATATATAGATACAGCAATGATTTTAGATAGTACGCGGGCTGGATGCCACTCGTTCTAAGAGAAATAGCAGGGAATAAAGCGAGATTAAATAAGCGACGATCGCCATATAATCTCGGTTTCAACTGTTGCATTTAGAATTTATTAAGCAGGTGACGATATCAAGAAGTGTGTGAAAGAGCATCAAGTACTCTCGTCGCCCTGCGGAGACCAAATGACAAGAACTAAAATATGAACGGCTACCGATGTCATTAGTGACAAAAGCAGTACAAAGCATGACTTAGTGTAAGTTACACTACACTGTTTCATATTTCTATTCAATAAAAATAAATATTTAAAAGTTGAATTACTTCGCTGGTTCTTTCTCGTAAAGGATAAAAATACATGAACGCAAAAGGAAAGCTTCCATTTACCGTTTCGTAAAAAAGCATGGATTAAACGAGGTTAAAAGCGTGTTAAGGATTCAACAAGTCCTTCACAATTTTCCCCCAGTAGCGGCGCCGAGTGGTGGAGCTCGTGACGTAAATGTTGACACCCCAGTGACTTGGGAATAGATTAATAAAGGGCGTACCTCGTTATAGACAACGCGTTTAGTAATTTATTACGTGGCAGTAAGAGCGGTTACGTCATGACTCATAACATTTATTTGGAAGCTCTACATGATTGGTCACATGCTTATGTTCATCAAAAGTTGTCGTTTCATATTAGAAGAATTCATACGCAAACGTTTCAAAAAACAGCGCCGTATCTGCTTTAGTGTAAACGATAAATTCCATTTTAGCGTTTACGAGGTCGACGCGATTCACGTAAATGGAGCATTCGCGAAATGTTTAATTTCTATGACTGAAATTACAAATGATCGTTGGAATGAGATTGTTATATGGCTCAATGCCAAAATAACATTATCAAGTGAATTACAGAGCCAGACAAATGGGTGGAGAATTTTTTTTTATAAAAAATGTAAAGGATTACGCATCATTAAATTTATTATGTCATTAAAATGACTTTTAATAGTTATACTAGACTTAGAGGACCGGACAGACGTTGTCCATGTACACACGACTTAAATTAGACAGCTTAGAAATAAAAAATCATGAAGTGGATCGAATTGTGAATAAACTAATACTAGAATCGACTAGTATTAGTTCACCATTCATAGAATGGTTTAGACTAAACCATTCCAGAATCGACATGAAGTCACACATAAAATTTAATTAAAATCGGTCAGCCGTTTATGAGAAGTTCAGTGACAAACACACGTACAGACGAATTATATATATAAAGATTAGTTATAAGATAGGAAAACGTTACTTAGTGTACACCTGACGTAAAAGCCTCTCAGGAGAATCCATTATAATTATAGACGTGCCCCGCTCTATTCAATCGATAGTCTAACTCGACAGCAATGTAAACTTGGCATCGGCGCTCGGTCTCAATGCAAATTGTATAATAATTAACCCGGCAAAATGACACGTAATAGACTGAGACGGTGGACTTATTTACGTCCCCGCATGTGAAAGCAAATTTCGCAAATGGTTTGCGGGGAGACCAAAATAATTTTAAGTTATATTGAGGTAGTTAAATTTTTTTTTATTAAGACAAGGTTAAAAATCATAAAACGAACCCATGCTAGAAACAATCTATAAAAGAACGACATTTTGTTAAGTCAAAATTTGGAACGTCTTATATGGTCGTTTATTCTTGCAATCATTTGTATTATGTAGTAACGTTTTATTATGATCGTTAACAAAGAAGAATAACTCTACATGAATTTGAAATCGAATAAGTCGTGGGTTTTTTTTTAATTCTGGCAAATGAAAAAGCAAATTGCCATTAATCTTTCCGAAATTACAAGATAAATTTCCACCACCCCATCTCAGGTTGGAGCAATTTCCCAATAATCTGCCGTTGAGAAATGCCCGTGATAATTTGAATCATAATCGCGTACACTCGTAGACCGAATGACCTTTCGTTCAAATCAAAACTTTATCCAGTTTATTTTCTTCGAAATGTTACTAACACTGACGTAAAAGAACTTATAACTTAAGGTGTAATAAACGTCGTATCCCTTAAAGATTTCATAGTTACATAAGGTATTACATTATCATTCAATAATATCATTTAAGATTTTTAAGCAAGGTATATAGCGCGGTTTATATAGGTATATAGCGCGGAAAAAGTAAAGAAGCTTTAAACGATTCGGGAGACTACAATAGGAAGTGTAAATTACAAGTTTCAGATGGCTACGTTTCGTGTATGTTTTTCCATGTGAGATTAAGGCAAGCGAGAGATTAACCTAGTGTTAAGTGATTGCCTTCACCCGTAGATGTGTCTACAAATCCGGTGGGTTGGGAATGTGAACACAAATATTGGTAATACTTTGATAAAAAATTTACTTCTGAAATTTCACACACTAGTTGAAATACTTCCTTACTACCTTACGGTAGGCTTCTACGTCGAGTAGACCGAATACTTTGTGTGTCTACTTCATCGTACGAACCGGACCATTAGCGCAACTGCATAACTTGCTTCGTGACTTTATCATTGTGACACTCGCATCGGAAGTTGCAAAGTTTTATTATTGTTCATCTTTATATATTTATATAATTATTCTGGGCGTGTGTATGTGACTGAACTCCTCGTAAACGGTGAAAAATTATGTGTGTGTTCAAGTGGATTCGAGAATGGTTTAGATTCGCAATTCGGTCCACTACAAAATAATTTTCTTTTATTATTTATGAGTCGTTGTCGTATCTGTTTGTTTCTTTAAATAATTTCATTAATTATAAGTCGTTGTCGGGTTGAAGACACGTGTACAGGACTACGTCGGTCGGGCCCGCTAGTATTTTACATATTTAAACGTTTCGTGTCATTAATAATAAACAATATTCGGGAATAACGATCGCTTTGACGAGTGATGCGAACACTACGTCGGAATTCCTTGCTCTGTTTAGAGAGACGGGCAAGTTATGAGCGTGCGTTGAGAACGTTTGGCCGATTTAATTTCGCTGCGTCACATTCAAAAGAATTTACATTTCCACTTTTAAAGCGGCGAATGTTTCATGTTTTTCCTTTGATATTGCAGCACCACACCATTGTTGACGCATATAAAAATGTTCATTCTAACAATTATTTAGCACGCATCATAAAATCAGGCAAAAGGACTTGACTTAAACATTCGGGTACCATACGTACACGAATATTTAAAAAAAAACTAACATACTATTGTTGTTTCTAATAAGAGTTCTTGTCTTTTAAAGCGGTTGTCTTTCTTTTTTCTCTTTGTATATAATTAATAATATAAACAATATTGCCACTCTAAACATACATTTTAAGTTTTTTTTTTAATTGTAGAGGTAGAGCCGAGGTACTAACAATGATAGCTAGATATGTATATCATATGTAACATTAGTTATTATTAGTATTATGCCATTCTGATGTTCAATATACAGTAAAGTCTCAGCTCTGGCTTTTATTATGGAAGAGTGTCTTTGACGCAAACGAAGAATCCATAAACGTAATTATTTTTAAAAACATTTCTTTGACCACGTGTCTCTTTTGGCAGCGGCGAACTATCCATGTGACTTAATATTCAGTATATAGAAATAATGGTAATATACAGCGTGTCGTTACCATTGCGACAATAAATGAACACATATAGGGGATAACTTTTTAAAGTTGTATTAAATATTTAAATTATTTAAACATCTATATTTACAGAGTTATTAAATTTTCCAAAACAAAGAATTTTAGAACACCCTTACCTATAAAAGCGTAACGTAAAGTTCATTTGTAAAGGTCACAAAGCATATGAATGGGTTGAATGAATTTAAAAGAGACAAAACATACTGTAGGAGAGGCTTGTAATACGACGCTGTGGCGCGAGTTGTATAGGATGTTACAAATTTTGTTTCTTTTTTATTTAATTAGTTTGTTTGAAAAATATTTTTTTTTAATTATGGATTTTGTTTAACGTTAACATTTTTTTATGATTATTGGCAAGTAGCGTTAGACGTGTGTTCATTCATTGTCGCGATGGTAACGACACGCTGTATAAACATAGATATGTATATACATATATAAATCTTTTATAAAATTTTAACATTTTTATTTTAAAGAGATGGCACAATGAGATTGTTCTAGAACGTATTTTTGTTGCCAGTCTACGACAACCAATAATGTTTCAAAGCCTCAGTTTCATTTGCATGGCTTTAATACAATAGTTTATGTTATAAGGTTCTTGAGGGGTTTGTTAAAAAATAACCAAAGTTATTTGCTTTAAGACCGAACGATATTTTGCATTATAATGTCAAACTACCTTCATCACAATACGTGTTTATGCAAGAACGTATTTTAATATGATTCGGGTTCAGAGCTTTAAAGGTTTAAAATTTTCTGCTTGGTGATATCTCAATAAGCTATACTGCGGAATATGATAATGTTACTGCGGAATAATATAACTTCATTTTGATACCACTTTCAGCAATAACAAGGTGTACTCACTATATGGTTCTATAGAACGTTTGAAGGAAATGTGTTCCATTCTAGAAACTTCAAACAACTGACGTAGCCGTGCTGATGAAGAATTTCACGACTACTGAGAAACTTGTTAAAACAATCAAAACTTTCCTCCAGAACTTTCGAGAATGTCTCATATTAGATTCCATCGCAATAACATCTAGTTTGAAGTTGCAACTGTACTAGACTGCCATCCTAAGCGACATTGACTTTGTGATAAATGGGATGAGATGGGATAATGGAGCGCCTGACAGAAGAAAATATTCATTTAATTCTGTAGTTTAGATACTTGGTATATGTCGATTTTATTATTTATTAAATTATTTCTTTATAAACATACACACACCATTGCATAACATGGTGCTTGTAGAGACGTTTTGCACCTACACAAACAGACGTTGTGGGAACAATATTTGTAGGTCGTTCAAACAGTTAATGTACGAAAACAAAATATATATTTTCAAAGGTTGATATAGCTAAACAATTCAGCGAACATAGCTTTAGGAGCGCAATTAAGAAAATCTTAATTGATAGGACCGTTATACTGGAACAGTTAATAAATAGAGAACTTAAATGCTTGGAAAAGGCTCTCCCTTCGAACCACCCCTTTACTTCATGTTTATTTGTGAGAGATCGCACAACTCACGTGACATTGCAGTTGTGTTGGCAAACTTTAAGAGGTATGGCCCCGGTTACCTGACTCAAAACTTGTATACTTATCGTTCGTAGGTCTCCGGTGAGAGCCGCGTATAGTGACCGGCAAAAATACCGTAAACGCACTCTATTGGCTTTAGTCGATTTTTAGATCCCTATGGGACACAAAAGGCGACTCGGACCTTGTCGTGGCGGACTTAGTACCGTGACTTGGTCACCCACGGCAAAGCCAAGAGGAACCCACACTGCGCCGGTCAGTGATGTTAGGCCACCCAGACTGCCTCTCCAATGGGGTTCATCGAGCCCAATTTGAATGCGTGCGAAAAGGACAAAAGATGGTGGAACAATGAACACGAAAGCCAACGCGATTGTTTGCACCAAAGAGGAATAGAGCACACTCTCCCCGCACTGTGTAGCTTTTTGCTCACGTCGTTTATCACATCACAGGAAAAGCAGCTACGTGGCGTCACCAAAGTAATAAATCGCATCGGCACTTCGCTTGTTGATACTGACATCAAAGTCTTTAAACAAGTCTAAACTGAAAGAGTATGAGATATTTTATGAGAAGCATTAGGCAGCTTGTGTTAGCGCGTGGCCAGTAAGAGAACATTTTTTTGGTATCGGGGAAAAATCTTCTAAAGATACCATGTATGACGGGATTATGTGGGGTTCTTACCTACTAAAACCCCCTCGGTGGCCACCTTATGTTCATTTGTAGGGACTCCAGGATCTCCTATGGAACGCATCGATGTCCCTCGGAACTGGGCAAGAGCTCGCCTCGGAGAAGGGTAAACCTTCCTCGATTCCCTCGCCATCTTGCGTCCCCTTTAAGTCGCCTTTTACGACAGGCAGGAGTGAGCTTAGTCCTATTCTATGAGCCCGGGACTACATGGCTGCTGTGAGAGGACCTAAGGAAAATCTACTAGGATAGGATTGTTACCTTCTCCACGCCATCGTCCCCGTTCACCAGCACGTCGAAGACGCCATTTTCGATGACGTAGAAGTTGTCACCGTCATCTCCTTGGCGGATCACGTACTCGCCAGGCTCGGAGCGTTTCTCGAACATGGCGTCCAGCACCTGGTGACGAAGACACCAATTAGACAATTAGTGAGGGTTGTAACACTGAAACTAAAAGATTAAAGCTTTTTTTATTCGTAACTGGCCAGCCCTTGACTGTCATCTCACCTGAAGTATTTGAGGGAGAAAAATATTTATATAAAACGCCAGTGTTTGATGTTGTCAGCGCTATCAGAGCGTTACGACGAGGTCCGTGGGAAAATAAAATAAAACATCAAGAGCGGTAAGTTTGTCCGGACGCTGGCACTTAACTCATTATACTCAAATGACTCACTACCTGACCGATGAAATTTTTTATTGCAATTTTAAGAGAAATTTTTGTGGATACCTGCTTACGTAGGCAAAAAAAATAAAAGATAAGGTGATAACAGAATGATAGAAGATATAGTGCATAGTGTGAAGACATGTATTATTAATATTATGTATAGATATACTAATTATCAATACTCTGTATGTATTATTGTAGTATAGTATATAAACGCATTTTACATTTTATGGCTTAAAAGTTAAAAATGGAACCCTTATAAGATCACTCTCTTATCCGTCTGTCAGTCCGTCCGTGTGTAACCACCGATTTTCTCAAGAACGGGTGGACCTAGCAAGTTGAAATTTATACAAAATACTGAGGTCTATAGTCCCTACTAGGTGAATAAAAATCAAGGTCCCTCAATACAAGTCAATACAATACAATATATAATCAAGGCAAGTCAATACAATAAAAATATATGGGCAAATTTAGATTTTCGCGAAAACTTATAAGTACCCAAAATTTACCTTTATTTTCAACTTTTTTTATTTTTCGGAATTTTCCCTTAACTTGTGCTCTTAACGAAAATAGACAATTCTAGATCAACCGGAAGTAATAGGTTTTGGGTCGAAAACCTATATGGCGGTTCCCGTTGACGTAGAACCACGAAATTTGGCAAATTATACACCTAATAGAGACGATAGACCGGATCTGGTATAAATATCAGCTACGTCTAGCTCCACCCGTTCCTGAGAAAATCAGTGGTGATGATTTACCAATTTTATTTAATACGGAACTTGACCGGTTTTTTTAAAAGACATTCTTCAATCGGACATAGTCATTTTATCAGACTGCTCAATAGTACTTGGACGCTTTTTTACACTCAAATATAGTACAAATTCCATCCAACGGTTCGGATGAGGGATATGCCGGCCAAGCGTGCTAGTTTATATTCTTGTGTAAACCAAGGCTTCCGATTGAGAACACTGCTCGTGCACTTAGTTATACAGCGACACCGTTTCTCAGCCTCGCCTAGCGCCTTGCAAAACTCCGCGTGCACGCCGCGCCTAAGTGTCGACTAAACAAAAGACTGGTCAGTGTCCACTTACGAGTCGTTTTTCGAGGATCGAAAGCGGAAACTTCGTCCGATATAGATAAGATGTTGATGATTTTGAATCATAAACACTAAGTTAAGAAGCAGACGGACAGTTTGAGTTATGGTTGTTTTCTTTCTATGGAAAACGAGCAGGCGGGCCACCTTGTGGTACACCGCCCTCGGACACTCGCAACAATGCGTTACCGGCCTTCCAGTAAGGTATGGTCTGTCTTTTTAAAGGTCCCTATCCGTCCGGAAATACCGCTGGCGACAACTGATTCCACAACTTGTAACAGCAATCCGCGAATATACGAAAGAAAGCATGAATCATTTCTTAGCTTACTGACAATTTCACGTTGTTCTTACGGCCTATATAAATACATCTGCCAAATTGCCAAACCCAGATCTTTTTTTTTTTTAAGTGAGAAGGCGTCAAACGAGCTGGCGATGCGCCTTGTGAAAACCACAACCTATGGACTGTGGGGTTGCAGATGCATTCCCAAATCATTCAAAAAGGAGGACTCCGGTTACTTCACTTCGAGCTGGTCTTCTGTGAGGCCTTGATACTTCTCCGAACGAGCCTGCCCATTCCTGCTGCGGCAAAAGCTGCTACAACGTGGTCTCCCACTGACTTCTCACTCAAAAGGATATTAAACTGTTCGGTTACGCGTCTAAAGTAAAAATTGACACCTTCCCAACTATAATTAGTATACCTAAAAAGTTTGTTGCAATATGTACAAGAATTGATGGAAATATTTAAGACATTAATGTTCTTGACCTAAATGCATGAATACGTTGAATGAATTCCTGCATATTTTCTGTATTCAGTCAATGTGTATTATGACGATGAGATTCATGTGAAATTACCTAAAATCAGTAAAACCGCACACGGTAGCGTCCACGAAGCGGAAAAATTATATTTTTACACATAGCATTCATTCAGTTTGTGTGTTTAGCCGTCCGTTATGTTACGGAGTTTACAAAAGTCCAGCCGTCTCTTTCACACGTGATGTCATCGGTGGGCTATGAGCGAGAATTTCGAGCTGAACGCACTCGTAGTGCACGGTGAACAGTTCATATAATCTCTATAGATTTAATCAGAACAAAGAATACTGCCGGGTTAACAAAAGACGGGCGATAATAATACAAACGTCTTCAGACGTATTTACATAATCTGTATGAAAACGACACGTTTTAACATACGCCGGCTCAGTCCTTACACGAAATAAATTCAAATTAATTCATTCAGTAAGTAAGGCAAATATAGTTAACAGACGTTATTTTAGACTGAACTGACGACATAAGATCGAAGTAATGAATTGTAATAAGGATTATTTTTAAGGCATTCTTTATTTGAATTTTCCAAAAGACAATGACATACAATAATATTTCCAACGTGAAATAGCCTAAAGGGAATTGTATTGATACACATTATATCAACTGTCGGAATTAAAAAAAAAGAACCTGACGAAAAATATGTAACGAAAAAAAGGGTTAGTAATAAAACGTCAAATTATAAACAACTTGCTCCCTCTGCTTTTGCATAGTTACACATAATAATCTTAAGAAAAATTAAATAAATAAATAAAGGTATGACCATATATTGACATATTTAACAAACGTCAAACAACGGTCATCTATAACAAGTGCTTTTTCTGAAGACTTACATTCAAATAGCGGAATTTTACTACTAAGTAAAAAAAACTATGAATAAATTCAATTTGATAAAATATACCCCTGTTATTCAGAAATAACGTTGATGTTTAGAAATAAAGTTATGTACATTTGTTTATTAATTTAAAATAAAAGATAGTAAGGAATTACATAAATAAACACTAAATTTATATTGAAATTATAAATATTATAACGATGAATGCAATCGTAAAAAAGTAAAGATTCACTTCGAAGAGGGTCAAAATAAAGCGTAAAACAAAACATAAATATGGCACAAAACAATGAAAAAACGCACATAAACAAGACCGTTTTTTATGAACGAAGAACAAAACCGACTTCAAATATCTCGCTCTGTATTCATTTTATAATTGATTTTGAGGAGTTCGTTTAGTATCTCCGGAACCCAACATCCAATACCAATGAACGGAATTAATATGCGACCACATTGGAAGCACCAGATTTCAAATAAAAACAGAATCAGCAAAATCGGTTCACCCAGTCCAAAGTTCTGAGGTAACAAACATAAAAAAATACAGTCGAATTGAGAACCTCCTTATTGAGACTGTTGAAAACAAGACTAGTACCAAACCTTTACGGTCTTAATGACAATTACGCATAAGTGCGGGCAACGCGCGAAAGTTACAAGTTATAACGAAAGCAGACGTGCCCCGCTTGGTAACCGACATGGATCAGGTTTAACTTGAACTAGTCGACGGTGGGCATATTTACGATGAAATGCACGCAGCACTAGTTGCGTGAGCTAATGCCCGACGCCATGAATAACGATGGGACCAAAGACACGAATAATGAACGCTTCTAGAAAGAGTTTCAATTGATGGACGAAGCCTGCCGTCGTCGTATAATGGAAAGAATAGTAGTAATGGCGCTAAACACATACTTTGACATGTTTAACAATAGGTGTGTGCGCGTAAAGGCTGTACGTTTCAAAACGATGCGTCTCAAACTATCGCTTAGTTTAAACTTGTACCACGGGTACTAGGTAACTGGTAGACATACTTAAAGGTACTTTTCTTATGTAAATAAATACAAAGTATAGATAATTATACTAGTTAACCCGGCAAACGTTGTTTTGCAATATAAATTATTTCTAGGGAATTTGTAGGGTAGGAAAAAAATGTTTGGGGTTGACCACCCTTATATTGATTATCCTGATTCTCAGACCTACCAAATATACATATAATATTTAATAAAAATCGATCAAGCCGTTTCGGAGGAGCATGGTAACTAACATTGTGAAATGAGCATTCTCTAAGCTGGTACAATTCAGTCAGAAGATTACATTTCACTGTATATCCTATTTACTGAAAAATGTATTATATAAGGATTATTTTACTAACCATGTACCAACGAAATTGTTTTAACTTACGACCTGGTTTTAATATTCAATCTACAGATAGATTTGGTTACTAGCGATAGGTATTTGACATTAGCTCCATACTACTGTGGAGAATATTGTGAAGAATATTTTTGAAGCCTGGGAAGAGTCACAGGATGCCTTAGGTATATTCTGTGACTTAACCAAAGCATTTGATTGTGTACAGCATGACACTCTGGTCAGGAAACTACACCATTATGGTATAAGAGATGCCGCACTCAATCTTCTGACATCGTACTTGAGCTATCGTGTTCAGAGAGTTGACGTGAATGGCAAGAGATCTCCCGGGGCCCTGGTAAGTATGGGGGTTCCACAGGGATCTATTCTGGGGCCTTTTCTCTTCCTCATCTACATAAATGACCTGCCCTATCTTGTAAATAATGATCATGAGATAGTATTGTTTGCTGATGATACTTCTTTAATTTTTAAAGTTAAACGACATTCTTCAAATTATGACGATGTTAACAATACTCTCTCCACTGTAGTGCATTGGTTTAGTGCTAATAACTTAATGTTGAATAGTAAAAAACGAAATGTATTAAATTTACAACTCCCAACGTAAAAAGTGTAAAAACTGATGTACTTTTACATGGGGAAGCGTTAGACCTAATTGACTCGACTGTATTTCTTGGCATAACTGTAGATGCCAAATTGCAATGGGGCCCCCATATTAATAAACTGTCGAGTAGACTTAGCTCAGCAGTCTTTGCAGTAAAAAAAATTAGACAGTTGACTGATGTAGATACGGCTCGTCTGGTATATTTTAGCTAATTCCACAGTATAATGTCTTATGGCATTCTACTTTGGGGAAATGCAGCCGACATAAATACTATTTTCATCCTGCAAAAGAGAGCTATTCGAGCGGTTTATAATCTGGGCCCCAAAGATTCACTAATAAACTTGTTTAAAGAAATAAAAATATTGACTGTAGCTTCTCAGTACATACTTCTTGCTAATATTATGTATGTCCACAAAAATAAGAATGACTTTTCAAGATTTAGTAATGTGCATGATGTAAATACTAGGAACAAGCATAAATTAGTTCTACCCTCAACTAGATTGCGTAGAATAAGTAAATCTTTTATGGGACAATGTATACGCTTTACAACAAAATCCCAGAAAACGTTCAAAATGAATCCGTTGCTAAATTCAAAAAACTTGTAAAGGAACGTTTGTGTGTTAAGGGCTATTATAGTATTAGTGATTATATGAATGATAACACTCTGGAAATGAATTGATCGCTCCAGGCTCTTTCAAGTGGAGTTTAATAATTGTTCACATATTTGTAATTTTTTTTGGCAAGTAAAAAAAAAAAATGTCCCGCTGAGTTTCTTACGCCGGTTCTTCTCAGGTCAGTGGCTTACCTTCCGAACCGGTGGTAGAGTTTTTTGACTATCAATAAGTAAGTGAATGCTTCTATATTGAATAAAGATATTTGACTTTGACTTTGACTTTGACTACTTACGTCAAAATTCTATCTGCAGTAACCAAATCTATCTGTAAATTGAATATTAAAACCAGGCCGTTAGTTGTTTATATTAAACTTAGTTTAGTGATGCGCAGGAAGACGTCGTGAACACGCTGACAATTTAATGAAAAAGTTACTGGTTTAAGTTAAGTTACTGGTTACTGGTTAAAAGTTACTGCACATGGCGTGCGCCTGGCTTCATCTTTATCGCAGATGTTTTCGTCTTGAACGAAAATGTTTAAATTTCGCAAGGTTGCCAAATTTTAAGTAATGTCCATCACGCCTAACATATCCACGTGCGTGTTATATTATCAGTAGGGATGTCGAAAAAATACCGATATTTTCGATTCTATATATCGATATTCTCAGCCGATACATTTGGATCCGATATGTCGAAATATTCAATATCAAAAATTGTATCAATAAAGATATTTTTTTCAAATTCGAATACGGTACAGAGTCAGTAGGTGTTAAATTGACATACCTTTTTTTTGAAACAGTGGTTTCTTGGAACTATATCCAATGTATTAATATTTTCTCTTCTATATATCGAGGCAGATATCTATACAGCGTGTCGTTACCATCGCGACAATAAATGAACACACATATAGGGGATAACTTTTTAAAGTTGTATTAAACATTTAAATTCTTTAAACATCAATATTTACAGAGTTATTAAATTTTCCAAAACAAAGAATTTTAGAACACCCTTAACTATAAAAGCGTAACGTAAAGTTCATTTGTAAAGGTCACAAAGCATATGAATGGGTTGAATGAATTTAAAAGAGACAAAACAAACTGTTAGAAGGAGAGGCTTGTAATACGACGCTGTGGCGCGAGTTGCATAGGATGTTACAAATTTTGTTTCTTATTTACTTAATTAGTTTGTTTGAAAAATATTTTTTTTTAATTATGGATTTTGTTTAAGGTTAATATATTTTTATGATTATTGGCAAGTAACGTTAGACGTGTGTTCATTTATTGTCGCGATGGTAACGACACGCTGTATATTTAATTTTTGTCATCCCTAATTTTCATTCGGTTATTGGATGGATGGTTAATATTAATACCGTGACGTAACGTATTACAATGGCGTGGTAATCTGTGTCCATTTTAATTTAATACAATCGAGTAACCAGAGCAAATTCTACATAGTTCCTTTTAAATAGGTAAACTTTCTAACCGCAATTTTATTTGCTGATTTGAGAAAACCTTTGAATGCTAAGGTATTGGTTTCGGCATCGTGGGTTCAATTCCCACACGAGACAATCTATTTATGTCACCAACACATAGTTGTTTCGCATCTGGATGTTTGTCCACGTGAAATTTATGATTGTAAAACGTCCTTACAACACAGGATAATGTTATCCTAAAGGCAATGTTTTTCTTAAAAAAAATGTAGCTTATAGGTAGTTTGGGCCAGTTTCAACTGTATGCTTCAGTGACCCTCTGGGTTGATACATGGCAGGGGCACACGGTAGTCTGTGCTGTTGGCAGGCTCAAAAAAGTACGACAGCCTAACACAAGAAGTGAAACTAGTAATATACTTTGGCGTTACTTCTGGTGAGTGAGGTAGCCTGGGTCTACTTTTACAAAGGATGGCGATGCATCTGCAACCCTTGAACTTGAAACCAGGTAAACTGCCATAATTTTAGGCCCTACACGCTGCAAAAAAAGGTTGCTGCCGTGGCACCTCACCTGCTGCATCTGTTGTGCGTCCAGCGAGCGGAAGAGCAGGATGCCGCGCACCGCCTCAGCGAGCCTGGCGCGTTGCGCGTCCGACTTGGGGAAGACGGCCGGTGCCCCCTCGTCGGAGTCATCCTCCTCCGGGTCGTAGGTCTCCGCGAAGACGGACTTGCGGCGGTTGTTGAAGCGCGCCACGGGCGGCTCTGTCGGTAATTGACTACGTGAGAATGCGAAATTAAAAACAAAAAAAAAACCGACTTCAAACCGGAGACTAAAGACATTGTTGAAACCTATAACATTTGACGATTGCCCTCGATTTGGGATGTCATCATCAGATCTGGGTTTCCTTATTAGGTACCACCCTTGGGATATCTCCTTTCCAAAAAGAAAAGAATGATCAAAATCGGTTCATAAACGACGAAGTTATCCGCGAACACACATAAAAAAAAATATATATATATGGTCGAATTGAGAAACCTCCGTCTTTTTTGAAGTCGGTTAAAAAGAGTGTTGCCAGTATCTCTAACATGTCTATATACGCCATTGCAAAAACAATCGGGGCATCTCTTGTCTACTGGCATTTCAAAATTTGTATTAAACAATGTTGATAGGCATAGCTTTATAAAAATTTATAGATTTTAATTTAATCTTCTCATGTGTATGGCATTTAATGTTTTTTTCTTAATTTATTAACACTGTAGAGAGAGAAATGAGTCAAAGAAATAGGTGTATTTCTGATTTTATTTTAGAATTTTAAGAAAATCGCACTATTTTCATTGGGATTTTGTGTTATACAAATTAGAAAAAAATTATACTCAATGATCTATTCAACTAAATTTCATTTTGAATTAGGCCAGATCCATAAGGATGTGAATAAAACTTATTAAATTTAAATCATCACACTATTTTTTAAATGTTGTATGTCCAAAGTTGTAAGTTTAATTTACAGCGCATATAATATAATAACAGTTGTAAAAATGCATTTAAATCAATCTCATTCAAAAATAAGTATGTCAACATCTTAGCTGTACAAAGAAACATTGACATGAATATTTAGTACTACTTTAAAAAATCTATTTCTAAAGTGTAGCTTAATAGGTCATCTACATTATAAACAATGTTTACCTCACATGTGTTTAAGACATATTTACTAGCGTGTCTTATATGAAATGATGCTCAAGATCTATTTAACACTTATTCACACTTGCTTGGACACATGATTTTACAATATTTAACTAAAATATGAATGTCTTAAACCTTTGAAGTACAAAACTACAATGTAAAACAAGCAATAATAGCTCTCAAAAATCACACCAGACACAAATTCAAAAGTATGAAAAAATAAACATAAAAATGAGATAAATGTATGGTAAATGCAAAAGATTTATATTTGCAAAAACAATCCCAATGGGAAAATTTGTGTGTTAGTTGATTATCCTTTACTTTGAGATTTAAAATTTAAATCTGATTTATAAACAGACCTTCCCTATTTTTGTGTTGTATTTGGCAGCAGCAGACAGCTTTTCAAAATCTATAAAATATTTTATTATAACATTGAATGGGTCAGTAATGGCATAATGCCAAATGCGAAAGTAGCAATGCTTACTAGCATTCCAATAGTTATGTTATATTGTAAATATATTAGCTCAAAATTTTGGAAGTATTATGGTTAAGAACAAAATATGCATAAAAATCATTTGTGAACTGTATTAAGATAACATTATGAAAATCGGTTTTAAATTAAAACATTGTTGATTTTATAACACAAATTCAATCTTCGATGCATTATGTGGTTGTTATTTAATCATATAAGTATTAAAAATGCAACTGCAAAACCCCAAGCAATATAAAAGGAAATCATTGAATAACTTGAAAATAAATGAAAAAATAAATGAACTACCTATTTGTAGACATAAAAGCATTTTATGATATTTAAGAAATATTTAACAATGTTGGGTTTCTAAAACCATCTGGGTACATACCATGGTTATGCATGGTATAGGGATGGTTATGAGGCAAGTGCCTCTTTGAACATTTTTCATTATTCAGATTATCCGCATAGAAATAGGTATATTGCTCAGCAAATGCAACGAATTTTCGAAAACCTACCTTCGTCGCAACTGTTTCAAAAAACAATCTTGAGTCAGTGTGAGTGTAAGGAATATCAATAAATGAGTACCTTCTTCGTCTGATATTATGGATTCATCGGGCGTGCCGGCAGATGGGCCTCTCACTATAGTCGTGGTCCTGTTGTTCTGTAACCTTGTGAAGAACTCGACGGCGTAATTAATCACGTCCCCTGGCTGCTCCAATAGATAGCTTATGGTAAATTCCAATAAGATCTCTCTAAGGTCATCTGGGACTTGAATTCGACCGCCTTGAGGCCTGCTCATTTCTAACGACGTCGCCTCTCTTTCTCGTTACAATCCCACACGGAGAATGTCTAAGCGACTCGTTAGATTAAAATTTGAATATCGTAGCCATTGAATTAGCTAAAGCGACACACCAAAGAACAAATCTTACGGCAGGGAAGTAGCACTACATACAAACGTTAGTAATAAACAAAACCACACTATTAAACTATAATTTTCTCAAATGATAGTTTTAACTACAATTAATTAAATATATTGACACACTTTTGAGAAAAAAATCCTCGTCCTCCAGCCTGACAATTATAAAATCTCCTTTCACTGAAAAGTAAAAATGGCGAATTCTGGATTGCCCTACTTCACATCACTAATCACACCAATCGTTCAAAGTTCAGGGCGTAGAGTATGTTGACAGGTTATTGCTATTTGAAAAAATGCTAGATGTGATCAAAAGCTTAGATATAATTCGAAGGTGTAAAAAGACCTAAAGACCGAGTGTACATTGAGCCAAAATTATTTGACAAACAATTGTCTTGAAATATTTGCATTTATTAAAGATTACAAAAAAATAGGTGTTTGTCTGTGACAAGCATAGTCTATCGATATTAAATATGACTCAAGAAATATTTGCTGCTGTTTTGGTATTACTTTAGTTCAAATCATAGATAAGACATATATACTGAAACGGTTGAAATAAACGTTGAACTAGAAGTGGGCGATACAAATCGTATCAGATATGAAAACTAGATATTAGTACAATATCCGAATATCGCTTACTGGCTCGTTCAATATCTATGTATTTTACAATATCTGATATTTCCGAAATCTGATGTACCGTGCTCGCTCGCTATACCGACACGAATCGCGATACGGCGATATCATACGCGTTTGCCACAATATCTGATTTTTAAACAGATTTCGAGAGACAAAGCGCGTGAGATACAAATACTCACTAGTTAGAGCGGGATGGCAAGCAATGCACGATATCAGATATCGAGCGACAAAGCGCGTGAGATATAAATACTTACTAGTTAGAGTGGGACGGCAAGCAATGCACGTGTGGCCTATCGGCTAAATTCTAAGGTAGGGTAGGTGGGTTCAAGGATTCAGTGTTATTTCTTTTATAGCTTTATTTGTCATACTTCCGCACACAACAGCTAAGTGTAGTGGTGGTTCACTGGCCTGACGTAGGGTGAGACGTCCAGGAATTGTTCTACGCCGATTTTTCGAAGCCGTCGGTATCTGGGGTCTCGCGCTCTGTAGATCGGGTAGCTCGGCCGTATTAATCCGGGCGGCAGCGCTCGGCTAATAATTAGGGTAGGGAGATCCCCAGCGGGATCAAATTGGATTTAACCGTTCTGAGTTTTTTAAAAAATAGTCGGTCGTTACTTATCAGTATCACACAGCACAGTGACCGCTCTGTCTGACGTGCGAAACGTAGTCTCGTACGATTGGCCCAAACGGGGAAGCGTTCGCGTCACCGAATTTCGCCGAACGCTTCTGAATTTAGGGATCCGTCGGTATGGCGTGCAGGCTACGCGAACGGATATAATTTGTTTGTTTACAATTATTATTAAAAAATGGAAGGGTGCATTTAGATGCAACGTTACAGTACCCCCGCCACAAGAAGAAGGATTTTGCGTATCTAAGTTCTCATAAGAAAAATCCGTCTATACTCACAACTTACTACCGACAAAATATTTTCTTATTCCGTATATTTAATAAGTTTCAAATCTTTAATGTGCCAATATCCCAAGGAATTACCGGTCATATCTGACAATTCATATACGAGAGGTGATTTTTTAGTGATAATTTTACATTTTGTGAACTTGGGTGCTAATTTCTTGCTAAAATATTTGATCTTTGTCACTCTGATAGAATGTTCTTTTCCAAACTATATCACCTACATTATATTCCGCAGGACGACGACGTAAATTGTAAGTTTGACAATTTCTAGAGTGTGCTTGCAATAAAAGAGCTTGCACTTTGTTAAAAATAGAAGAAAGGCAACCTAAATTTTCGGCGTAAGAGTCGCGTGGCTGATAGATAACGTCCTCGGACTCCGCGTCAACGTAATGCGACCCACACGAGACCAATTCGCGCCCATACACTAGAAAGGAAGGCGTGTAGCCTGTTACTTCATTAACCGCACTATTTATCGCGAATTGAATTTGGGGAATTAGTTTGTCCCACATTCGGTGATCATTTTCAATAAATGTTGATACAGCAGTAATTATGGTTTTGTTATACCGTTCAACAGTATTTACGTGTGGTGAGTATTTAGGCGTATAATGTAGGTTAGGTACTTTGTATTTAGATAGTGTGTTTTTTTAGAGTAGCACTAACGAATTGTTTACCATTGTCTAAAATGATGGTAGAGGGAATTCCATGAACCAAAAATACGTTTTCTTCGAGTATTTTCGTTACTGTTTCAGCGGTAGCACGTTTTATTGGAAACAAAAGGCAATATTTACTAAAGCAGCACGTGACAACAAATATGTAGCAATTTTGTTTTCTAGTTGGGGGAAGAGGTCCGATGAGGTCCACACTGATAGTTTGGAATGGTCGTGAACATACTTTAGGGCGACCCATTACACCCAAGGGTGGGTGGTTTTGGTGTTTATGAGCTATGCAAGTATCGCAGGCTGAAACAAACTTTACCACATCCGCGTACATACCAGGCCAATAATATCGAAGAACTAGACGTTTGTAGGTCTTAAAGACTCCTAAATGACCTGCAGTCGGTTCTGAGTGGTTTTCCTCCATAAAAGTATGACGTGATTCAACAGGCACTACCTCTTTCCATTCAAACTCTTTACGTAAAAGGCATTTACCTTTCATCAGCCTATACAGTTTGCCATTTTTGATAAAATAGTTGGGAAAAGAAGTGGGGGAAGTCTGACAGCCGTTGTAAATCTTTAAATACCACTGGTCTGTAGTTAGGGTAGCATTAGGACTACTTTCAATGGCAGAAATTGGACATGCCCGAGAAAGAGCGTCAGGAATAATGTTGTCAGCACCACGACGATGTTTTACATCGAAGTTAAATGCCGATAAGCGTACACCCCATCGAGCTAAGCGACCGGTAGGGTTGCTCAAATTAAGGAACCATTTTAAAGCTGAATGATCCGTGTATACTGTAAATTTTTGACCATTGTCAAGATAGCAACGCCAATGTTCTACTGCCGTCAGAACAGCCAAGGCCTCTCGCTCTGTAATGCTATAATTTCGTTCCTGAGCAGATAATGATTTACTCATATACGCGATTGGAAGTTCCACACCATCAATAGTTTGAGTGAGCAGGGCTCCGACACCATAATCACTCGCATCTGTGTGTACTTCAAAGGGCTTATCGTAGTCTGGGCAGGACAAGATTGGGGCGGATATAAGGCATTCCTTTAGTTTATTAAAAGAATCGTCAGCTTCTTTAGACCAAGTAAATGGTGCAGCTTTTTTACTAGTAGACGTTAATTTATTAAGTGGCCCAGCGATTGAGCTAAAGTTGGGAATAAACCTTCGATACCACGACGAGGTACCAAGAAATCTTTTAACTTCTTTTTTATTAGTAGGTGTAGGAAATTTTAGAATAGCCTCTACCTTGCTCGGGTCTACATGCAAGCCTTTAGAGCTAACAACATAGCCCAAGTATTTAAGTTCGTTACGGAAGAACTTTGACTTTTCTAGGTTAATTGTTAAATTAGCAGACTTTAATTTATCGTAAACCTTAGAGAGAAGTGAAATGTGATTTTCAAAATTAGATGATATTAAAATAATGTCATCGAGGAAAACGAAGACAGAATTTTCGAACTCAGGACTGTTGTTAAATAGCTGATCCACTAACCGTTGTTGCGTGGCGGGCGCGTTTGATAACCCAAATGGCATGGTAACAAATCTATGCGTCCCGCGAGTAGGTACATAGAATGCTGTTTTGTCACGGTCTTTTTCGGCTATCGGTATTTGCCAAAATGCTTTAGACAGATCGATACTGCTTAGGTACTTGGCATTTTTAAGGTTATCTAATATTTCGGAAACATATGGCAGCTTATATGCATCCTTGCGAGTGATAGAGTTAAGTTTACGGCTGTCGAGACAAAATCGTAATTTACCATCTTTTTTAGGAGTGAGTAGTATTGGTGAAGACCACGGACTTTCGCAAGATTCTACCACGCCTAATTTAAGCATTTCGTCTAGTTCTTCGACAATGATGCGCAATTTATCCGGTGCCAACCTATAATACCGCTGGCGGATGGGCGGTGAATCACCGGTATCAATGTGGTGTTCCACGAGATGTGTGCGACCAAGTCCAACTCTTTCAGAAGATATAAATTCAAACTTTCTGATTACAGTATTCGCTAACTCCCTTTGTGTTTCGGAAAGTTCACTATAAGATTGTAAAGCAGTGGGACTGTCATTTGGGTCATCCGCGACTACTGAGAGAATTCGTTGTTCATTAGGACCCGATAGCGAGATAGAAGTAGAAAATTTTGGTAGTAGTTTAAATTTCTTCCAAAAGTCCACCCCTAAAATGAACGACGTTGTAACTGACGGAATAATATATGCTTTAAGGTAATGAAATTGACTTTCAAATACAACAGGTAGGTTAATATATCCTATGGCAGATAATTTATGACCACCGGCTGATATAAATAATTGTGAAGCGTCACATTCGTTTACAGTGAAACGGCAATAAGAGATTAAACTAACGTGTGAGTTGTTGCCTAATATCGTAATGGCTGAACCAGAGTCCAGTAACCCACGTAGCGAAAGTCCTCCTACTGTAACGGTAACGTAAGGGCGTACATCTGTATTAGGTTTTTTATCGAAGATTGTTGCAATAGAATAACTCGAGAAATAAATTTTTATAGTTGTTAACCAGTTTTTCCAGTCTTCTTTATTATAGTTATTAATTGATGTGTTGGTAACCGGCGAACAACAATCTTCATTAACTAGTTTTTTTGGTTCAATCCGGGATTACACTTGGGACAGTTAGGATAAATAAAATTTTCGAGACCACATTTGAAGCAAACAGGGTAACGCTCTTGTTTACATTGTCTCAAGGAATGTTCATTAGTACGACAACGTGGACAAAAGACAGGCTTGCTGGTTGAAGTACTAGGGTTTGGTTCAATAGATGATATCGGTACATGATTACTAGATTTATTATTGTTGTAATTATTTTTATTAAATTCATTATGTTTTTTAAAACTATAGTAATAATTTTTATTAAAGTTAGGTTTAAACTCAGCTTTTATGTAAGCCAGATCAGGAGCGAGGGTCTCACTACATGGCTTGGGAGGTTCATGAAATTGAGAAGAAAGGCATTGAATCTTTTCATAATTAAGGCATAGTTTACGGAGGGTCGCAATAGAATCAACACCGTTGACACAGGAAGCTAGTACGGTTGAATAGCAAGGACGTATATTATGTAGCAAAATGTCTAATTTATCCTGTTCCGAAAGCGACTTATTCGTAGACAAACGTGAAAAAAGTTCAGACATAATCGACAAATAAATAACAATATTTTCGGTTTCACCTTGTGTTCTATTACGAATTTCCGATAAAAGTTTATAGTCATAATCAAAAGGAATAAAGTCTTCACTTAGTAATTTAGTTAATTGTTCCCAAGTAGATACTGTGTTGCGAATACTACGATACCAATGAAGGGCATTACCGGTAAATATTTCCGAAGCATACGTTAATAATTTATGTGAAGGTAAATTTGTAACAGTTTGATACTCGTTAATCTTTTGTATAAACGCACGAACACAAGTCCTACCGTCGTATTTTAATTTGTGCAATTCGCTAGTTCGAGAGTGCTCACACTGCACTGATATAATGGATGGGCCGTCGAGTGACGAAGAGGACTGCGCACAAGTTTGCTCGGATATGGCACTTTGAGCAGAGTCTAACTTTTGGATAGAAAAAAATTTTGTCGATAGCAATTCAAATTCTTTGTTTAAGGAATTAATTTTCTTTACAAAAGTAACATTAGTTCTATCCATTCGTCTTAAGCGGTGGAAAATATGATTATGTAAGGCTTTAGTTCGCTCAAATAGATTATAATCATACTTTTCTATTAAAGATTTAATCCGTGTAGCCAGCTCAGTCATAGAATTTTGGGCACCCTCATAATCATCCGAAATATCGATTCCCGATTCAAAGAGATCATCATTAGGTATCAAGGAAATAAGTTTAGATATTTGTTTACGTAACCCTAACACATTAGGAGCCGGTTCATCTCCTCTGATAAGTACTTCATACATTAACTCATTTTTATTAAGTAGAAAATATTTAATAGGGTGAGTTCCCATTGTAAAAATTATAACAAGGACAACTAGAAGGAAATTACACAACAATTAATAAAAAACATATAACTATTAACAAATCATAAAATTGCCGCATCCAAAACTACACAGCTATGTACTACAATCCTGTTCTTTACAAAATAAAGTTATTTCTAATTACGATTCGGTGTAACGGTATTATTTTTTTTTTTTTAAAGTACTGTAGGTAGTTACATAATGCAAAATCAACAACTGTTTAAATGCGAACTGTTACGTATTATTTACAATATTTCTGTACTGTGGTAGAATTTTACAATTGTATTGTTGTATTTGGTCTTTATTGACTTACAACAGTATGGAACAGTTTACGTAACAATCGACACATTAATTAAGCAGAATAACACAACTAGTAATAACAAATTAAGACGTACCAGTTCGCTGATGTAGTTACCTCCTCGTTCACAAATGGAGTTGAAAGCTGCAGAGCGGAAGAACTATTACTGGAATGATTGGAAGTATGACTAATAACGTTGGGCGCCACTGTGGCCTATCGGCTAAATTCTAAGGTAGGGTAGGTGGGTTCAAGGATTCAGTGTTATTTCTTTTATAGCTTTATTTGTCATACTTCCGCACACAACAGCTAAGTGTAGTGGTGGTTCACTGGCCTGACGTAGGGTGAGACGTCCAGGAATTGTTCTACGCCGATTTTTCGAAGCCGTCGGTATCTGGGGTCTCGCGCTCTGTAGATCGGGTAGCTCGGCCGTATTAATCCGGGCGGCAGCGCTCGGCTAATAATTAGGGTAGGGAGATCCCCAGCGGGATCAAATTGGATTTAACCGTTCTGAGTTTTTTAAAAAATAGTCGGTCGTTACTTATCAGTATCACACAGCACAGTGACCGCTCTGTCTGACGTGCGAAACGTAGTCTCGTACGATTGGCCCAAACGGGGAAGCGTTCGCGTCACCGAATTTCGCCGAACGCTTCTGAATTTAGGGATCCGTCGGTATGGCGTGCAGGCTACGCGAACGGATATAATTTGTTTGTTTACAATTATTATTAAAAAATGGAAGGGTGCATTTAGATGCAACGTTACACACGATATCAGATATCGAGCGACAAAGCGCGTGAGATATAAATACTTACTAGTTAGAGTGGGACGGCAAGCAATGCACGATATCAGATATCGAGCGACAAAGCGCGTGAGATATAAATAACTTACTAGTTAGAGTGGGACGACAAGCAATGCACGATATCAGATATCGAGCGACAAAGCGCGTGAGATATAAATACTTACTAGTTAGAGTGGGACGGCAAGCAATGCACGATATCAGATATCGAGCGACAAAGCGCGTGAGATATAAATACTTACTAGTTAGAGTGGGACGGCAAGCAATGCACGATATCAGATTTTTAAACAGATATTATGAATAAGTTAAGTAATTTTGAATCTTAACACCATGCAAATAAGATCCGTTTCATTTAAATACTAATCTTGGTATCAGCGATTACTACAACGATATTATTATATTTTTATTGTTTTGTTTAGCCTTGAGCCGTAACGGGCGACAAAGCGCGCAGTTAAGTAATTTTGAATCTTAACAGCATGGAAAAAAACTCTGTTGCATTTAAATACGAATTACGGTATTAACGATGTCTTTGAAATTTTATTGAAGTATTATATACTGAATGTATTATTTCTTACACAAATAATAAAAATATTGCCACTCGATTGCGTGTTCTAAAAATATGTTAAAGTCAATTATTAAGCGGTATAAAAGATGTTAAAATAAATCATTTTTATATTACTTCAATTTATATTTTTAATGAAATTTTTAATTTAATAATTTAAAAAAACGCATTTTTAGTAAGACAGGGTTAATTATTAATGATCGTCGAACAAGACTTTCGACGAATAAAGTCAGAGAGCTTACGTTCCTAAACGTGAATTTGAACCCGGAGGGATATAAATAATTATATTTTTTTTTTTTTTAGAATTCAACTAATCAACGTGGATAGGGAACCGTAAAATATCTAGATATTAAAATACATAGTTTCGAAATCTGATATTTGAAATCGATATCGGATTCAGATACGGTACTCAGAAAAAGCGATACGACCCATCCCTACGTTGAACGAATGAAACGGTTGAAATGAACGGTTCAAATCAAATAAATGGACGGCGAAGTGATAATTGCGTTTTACTACTTTCAACCTAGTGTTGTATCGATTGAAAAACTCGATGTTTAACGAAAGTGGTATTTCTGCCAGTGTGTTTAAAAATAATTATAAAATTTTGGTGATTAAATGAGAACTCGTATGAAAATTTAACTATAAGTCAAGATTTCGTATGCAAATTGTATACAACTTTCATAAAAAAAATAATTATAAGTAGTACACTTATAATTTTCACTTCACAGACAACATATAAAAATGATTAATTTTAAGTTTTTTTTTTAATTTGATTTTATAATAAACCATTATTCGGTTATCAAAATAATTGTAGCGTTTCATTTTTTAAATCAGTAAACGAAGTGGTTACTTACTATTTGATTAAATATTGTAGTACGTATTTTTGTAGTAAGTATTGTATTTTGGAAATTACTTTTAGATACAAATTAGTGAGTAATGAAATATGCAAAATATTTTTCTATCTTACCGGCGTAATAATAAGAAAATATGGTGAAATACGGTGTGTGCTTTAAAAAAAAGGGGAAAACATAACAAAATCATCTAGATGGACAAAAAATAAAAAGTAAAGAAAGCAATGATCTGGAATCGAAGAAGAAGTAAAAAAATAAGTGTGTAAATGATCGTGACACGAACCACGGGCTTCTGTTTCGGGACCGCCCGATTACCGACCGATTTATTATAACATTTTTTTTCGGTGAAATTTACCGAATGAAATTTATTCGAATGATATTTTTAATTCCCTGAAAACTGGAATAAAACGACATTTTTTAAAAATGAAACCTAGCCAGATCGATTTTTCGCCCCCGAATCTAGGCACGTACTACATTTCATGAAAATCGTTGGAGCCGTTTCCGAGATTACGATTTCATATATATATATATATACAAGAATTTAAAGCGTAAGAGAGAGAATAAATAGTAAAAAAAATATTGATAAGTACTGTTAAGCTTAATTAACGCCTGTAAATGAAGTTTATTTATTTTTCAACAGGTTGGAATTAATGATGTGCATTTAGGATTGAAGCTACGGAACAACGCAAATCCTCTCTTTAGTATATTCATCATTATCATCCTCCAGTCCTAACTCTACCTAGGTGGGGTCGACATAACATATGAATTATGTCTGTAATAGTAGCAGTTAGGCTAGGCTTGGTTTTAAATACCTATGTATTAAAAACATCTGTGTGTTCCTACGTTTGTAATTAACTATTAAAAATTAATTTGAATCTTGGTAAGATGCGACAGAATGGATACAAATAATTCAAGCATTTAAGAAATCGTCGTTCTTCATCCGTAGATATTCGAGTGAAGACATCTACCAATGCTCAGACAGTTGCGTCATGCAAGTAATTCGCCGTTTCATTGCAAACGCTTGAGAGGCTCGGGTTTTTGAAGAATTCACAATACTATCACGAGAAGTGTGTGTAGAGGGAAAACAATAGCTAACATAGCATCTCCATCTGCACCAATTTGCCAGCTTGGGTAGTTCTTTTGTCCAGTATGTGATGTACCCGGTGGCGCACACTCTAGTGGGTGGCGACACGCCTATAACAACTCTGGTGTGAGTTGAGCAGTTTCCCGACTTACCATTACATAACATCTTCTTGTCTAGATTTAAAAAGGTCAGTGACATTTATAAATTTATAAAACAGCTTTTATTTCAGAAAAATTGACCTGATTGTGCTTATTGACTGGTGCCTTTTTCAGAAAACTAAGTTTTTTATATATGTATAGTTGCATAAATTATCAATCAATCATCAGTAAATGCTACGAAAAAAGTGGTTATTAATATATTAGCGTGCTTCTCCAATCTAAGCTGGAAGTGGTGTAATAGAAATATCATATTATGTACTGCTGCGATTTATTATTTTATCAATTTGAATCTACTCATAACTAAAGAACTCTCTTCTTTCAGTTTCAATAATATCACCTCCTTTGCTAAACGAATGGAGGACGTTTTTCAAAAAATAAATCGTCTTGTTACTGCAGTCCACTATCATCGAAATCATGTCTTTTTGGAGTATAGTTTGCTGTTACCCCGGCGGCTTTGAAAGAGGTCCACAGGCAGATGAACTTCGGACTCAGAAGAATAACGTAGCCCACGCTCAACAACGACACGATGACCAGTACGCTCATCATCTGTGGGCACAAGCTACAAGTCCCCTTAGATATAGAGGTTCGACGTTTTGATTCGACCGCGGGCGATAGAGGAACCTATTCAAAGGAAGTAAAATAAGTCGAATCGAAAGTGTCTCTCGAAAAATTTATGCAGTGACAAACGCTACGCAAGATTTCTGTGCGCCAACTGAAGCATCGACTAATATAAAATACGGTATTTTATATTAGTAAACTGAAGCGTAGCCACGCAAGAGAAATTCACCGCAAATCCATTGATGTGCGAGATTGCGATCAGTGCAGCAATGTGTTTTCGGCTGTAGTGCAGAATTTACTTATCGCGATATATGTTGCCTTCTCAAAAAAACCTGTTCTACGATTAATATTTATTTTTAGTGCTAGTTTCTGTACTCAAAAACTTCGTTCTGCATCGTTTATCTAAAAAAAAATAATATTTTAAGTTTCATCTTGAGTGCAGAGACAATCACTAAAATAATAAATATTAATCCTAACAAATTTAAGAGTAAAGGCACAACTCACTTTCCAAATCTTTATTGTTAAATGTTCTTTGTAAGGTGTAAAATATGCACACTAGATGCTGGCTTGCTAAAAATGCAAAAAGGGACGTAAATCTATGTCGAGATTTTTGCACCGTGATCCACTGCTTAGCTTAATTGGTAAAGCGTCTGGGCCCTTTTCACAGAAGACGCTGGTTCGATCCCCGGAGTTCCGAAAGCTTCTGTTAATTTATCTAAATAAAGTAAATCACATTTTAAACTCGATCTACGTGTCCTTCTCAGTTTCATAATTCTCATTTAATTAAGAATTCGTGCGGATAAATAACTACTACCCAAATGTTCGAGTATCTTACACTCACAACAAATAGAGATCAAATGAAAGAGACATCAACAATCTAAAATAGTGGTAGCTTCAAGGGATTTCCATCTTCTGATATATACTGAACAACTTAAAGGAATTAAGAACACTTTGCCATGTTCAAAATCAAAACAGTGGATGACCCTCTTTGTACAGAACCGTATATAACGGGGTACACGGTTTTATTATGGAACTGACAAAAAAAGAGAGTCAATCAGATACTCGAGTACTAATATCGAATCATTGCATGGGTATGGATTCATTACGGTTGTGTAAATAAAACTGTATGTACACAATTCTTTAATCGTTTCAATTACAAACTTTTCCTTTGGTCTTGTTTCCGATACTCGTGAACGAACACAGCGTTTTCTACAGCTCTAGTAAAAACGAATAAACTAGGCAATTCGGTATAACAAAAAAAAAATGACTATTTATATTACATATATCCATTTATTTTAATAAATATTTCCGTCTCCTACTATATCAAAAATCTTTTTTCTCACATATGCGTATTTGGTGAAAATATTTTTCGTAGGAAATACGACAATGTTTTCTGGCGAGTCGTAAAGATTGAATTCGGTACACTCCCTTGGGGGCAAATTGTCTGAAAACAAATCTGGCTCTGGTGTTTCGATACAGTTCAGTTTTACGCAATCACACTTTTGCAGGAACATGCATATATCTTGTAAAGCTCTATAAGAGAGCATTTCGCAGTTCTCTGACAGTAGGGCTATGGAACATCCAGGACATTCAAACACTCTATTCACGATTATGCCGGTCCACTTGAAAAATACGTCGAACCTCACATCGTAGTCTAATGTTAGCCATGGAACCGGTATGACGCTTTTGTCTTCTTCCACGTCTAACGACCAGTGTTTGAAGAACTCCGTTAATATTATGCGGTTTTCGTAGTAGCCAACTCGTTTGATAATATTTTTGGCTTCAAATTCTATTAGTTTTTCACGTAGTGATTTCGGATCGCTGCAGTGAATTGTCTGGAAAGAAACACCGATGTTTTTTGATATGATATTGTTTAATTTTGTGGATGACCGAAAAGTACTGAAATTATGATTAAGTACATACATTTATTTAATATATCAGTAAAGATTTCATTCGTAACAAACATACATACCTGTAATTCTTTGAATGTACATCCTTGTTCACCTTTTTGCTTTAAATATGTTATAACTTCATCATTTACTACTACAAGTCCACCCTCATCATGCTTAACAAGATTGTAACTGAAAATAATACAAGAAAGAATTGAAATTTAATGCATACATATATGTTTAAAGATTTTAAATTCTTTAAAGCTGAAAGTCACCTTTGAATAATCTTAATGCATTCATCAATATCAATGTCTTTATATACATCTGAAAACTTGTTCAAATTGCATTTATTCTTGTAACCCACTAATCCAGACTTAAGTGAGTACTTATTTTCTATATCGATGACGTTCAACTGTTCCTCCTGCATTATGGAACCAGAGTACCCAGATATAGTTGGGGTTGTGACCGATATAACATCTATAATGTCACACGTAAGAAATTCGCAAAAAATGCAGTTAATTTCTGCTGAACCCTTGATTCCATTCTCAGGCAATCCCGCGTCTAAAACATAACCGAGTTGCTCTACGAACTCTGAATTGAGCCTGCAAAGCCACCTGCGTTGGTAGAAAGCGGATATTTTATAAGAAGATTGAACTATGTCCTCTATTTGGATCCTGTGGAAATGGTTGTTCAAAATCTTATCCCTGGCAGCGATTGCGCCGCTCTTTCGCAACTGTTCCAATGCCGTACGTAGAAGAAGCTCTGGGTGCTTTTTGAACACCGAGTAAATTTTAGAGGCGGTATCAGCGTTCACTGTGTTGTTGTAGGACAACATGGTGGTCATGATGATGCCTTCTTTTATAGAGGCGAGAAGTGGTTCGCATTCAACGGGTGTCCGGTACATGTTGTACGATTTCCTGGGAGTAGGCGAGGTGATTCTGTAGTTTTTGTTGAACTCCTCTAGGTCCATCGCTACGCAGGGCAACCTTTGCGTGAAGGATTTGGTCCTAGATATGAGACACATCGTCCAAATTAATTCCAGCATTGGCAGCCTGCACTCTTTGAACAATCTAGCTAGGTTCGCGGCGTAACGCGCTCTGAGTCTTTTCAGTAATCCTTCGTATTTCTGTATTATGTGCCGTCTCCGTCTTACTTCGTTCAATATGCACTCCTTTTCGTGCATCAGGGTCGAGGAGGATTCCAAAGCGGCCGCTCTCCTGTGGCAGACGCTCGCTGTCTTTTTGTCATCGTTCATGATGAGTATCTCCCTGGCCACTGTGTTCCGAACCCTCAAGCAGTCCGGGTGGGACGTCGGGCTCATAATAGTGATGGCTGCTTTGCACAGCATTATAATCCTATCCTCCCACTTGGACCACTTTATAGGCGCTTCCGGTTGCTTGCGCCGCTTGCGCCTACTGAACGCCAGCGCATTCACGGTCGGCTTTTGCAGCTTCTTTTTCACCCTCACCGGTTTCACTTTCGGTTTCTTCACCACTTCTGCCTTGGGTTTCCTCGTCTTCTTCTTCCTACGTATCGGCGGCTGGCTGATTTTCGCGCTTCGTATGTAGAACGTGCGCCATAGACGCGGTATGTCCATGAAGAAACTGGAATCGAACCCGCACGGGCCCAGCCCGTCGCCGTAGCGTTCACCATCGTCGTGCATCGAAACGTCCCCCGCTCTCCTCACGGGCGGTTTTATCTTTTTCCGGTCGCGTTTTATAACAATCTCCACGTTCGTGCTAGTGCTTATGTTATAGACATCACTCCAATACGTTGTCACGTCATCGAATGTATTGAAGTAGTATGACTTCTCTAGCTTCTCGCAATCCACATTCGGCTTAGGCCACACGCCGGTGGTGTCCAAAATTTTTGCATGACGATTGACGTAGAAAAGGTAGCTTAGAAGGTTGCCTTCGTACTCGTGCGTAGAGGGCGGTGCATTTTCAGATACCAGTTGGATTAGCCCCAGCATGGCTAGCGCCTTTAGATTGAACCTTATCGAGTTTTGCAAGCTTTTTGATTGCAATAGCCTCTCGTATAGGTCGGACGGAGCGTCTTTAAGTCTCACGTCCAGCAAACTGTCGTTAATTTTCATATGGGAGATGTCGGATATGGCGACATTGCTGATGTTCCCTATGGCAAATCCTATTGTCATGTGTGGCACAATAGTGAGGACGGAGGCGAATCCATCGGGCAACTCGTTGGTTAGATTGTTAAAGTACACCACACTGCTAATTAGCTCATGTAGTTTTTGTATCTTCATGTACCTTGGATAAGCGAACTGGGATAAGGGTCGTGAGACACTCTCCGTAAGGGCGCGTTTGACTTTTGTCTTCTTGCTGGTGAGCGCTTTGAGACTGATCTCATTGTGCTTCGACTTGATGAACGGATCGTTCCTCTGCATCGTCGGCTCGCACACCAGCGTCGTGTATTTCTGTTGGAAACCGGGCCACTTGATTTTGTACATTTTCACCTGTCCGTCGCTGACCAGCTTTTGAACGAACAGCTTCAGGGCCTTCGTGTCCATCGGCGGCTCACCGATCTCCTTGGAGACGAAGGTGCTCAGTGTCTGATAGCCGGAGACGGCGCGTTTCTGTCTCACTACCTTCAACAGGCCATTGGCGAACTTCAGCTGTCTCAACGTTGGATTCTTCTTCGCGTTGAGGAGCGATTCGGGTGTCATGTTCTCCAGGCCGTCGATTATTTTCACTTCCGTTATGTCAGTGTCGCCGCTGTCGGTGATTTCATTGTCGATTGTATCATCCAATTTTGCTTTCTTACTGGGCACTTCTTCCTCTTCGCCATTCTGTTCGACGCCGGTGGTGTTTAGAAAATCCAGTAGTTTCTTTTTCTCTACCGCATATTGTTGGTCCATTTCAGAAGTAGCGGCCACCGCGATGTATCTGAAAGTTCGTATTGACTTTTAAATATTATATTCTTATAAGTGCTAGTAATACTTAAAAGAAGTGACAAACAAGTAGACCGTTCAACCTGTAAAGTGAATACTACTGCCGACATCTGCATCACCTGTGGCGATGCAAATGTGTTGCCTATCCTTATGAGATCAGGCAAAGGTTCCTCAGTCAGCAATAGGAACACATGATTCCACTTTATTCTGGCCTTCTGTAAGGCTGTAGTTCTTCAACCTGACGAGCCTGCGCATTGGTGCAATAGCGGAAGCTGCTGAGTGATCCTATCACAGTAAAGTAATTATATCTATCTATCACAACAAAAGTAATGCATTAGCTTTTAACTTTTGCTGTTTTTACCAGATAAATTCCTTTTCTATAATTTATTTTGCAAAGTGCAGTTTATCACACAATGTACCTGAATTGTCAGTTTATTATTATCATCACTATTGTTGTCAGGGAAGTGAATAAAAAAGGATAGCACACAGACCTTGCAGTTCTCTGTCTCCCTTTGTCTTCCAAGAATTCCTTCACAATATTGTTCGATTTGAATGTTCTACAAATTGTTCGGCTTGTGTAAAATTCCACACCCAAAATCTGTGCTAATTCAATCTGTGTTAATCCTCTCAGACCTGCTTCTAAGAACCTTTCATATGCTTGTCTCAAAAGACTGACTCCAACTTTATACTGACATTCCAAGGGAGTAGTATTTGTATCATTATCGGAATGATCTGATTCCTCACTTGATATTTCTAAACTGATGTACTTCTTTTTTACAATTACCTTTTGTCTTCTACTCTTTGATATTTCTTCCACTTTTAAGTGTCTTTCTTCCTGAAATTTTAATTACTTTAAAATGCTGAAACAATTGATACTTCAAGAAGTGTTTCAACATACAATATTACTTACAAAATGAAAAACATTGATAGTTTTTTGCAATCTTTTACTCTGCTGTGTATTTAAATATCCATTTTTTATCAGAAAATCTACTTTTTCTGAGTGATCGGGCTTATTTTTTAAATATTCTATGAGATTGTGTAGTTTTCCAACTTTTGGGGAAGAGAGTAGGACTGGTTGATGAAACCTTTTTAGCCTTAATAAGATGCTTTTCATACCCCTTCCTTGTACAACTTGTGTGTGGCATTGTGTTTTGATTATACCCAAGTCTTGTAAATGTTTTCTATTGTAAAAAAGGTGTTTGGGATCTTTCATTATTTTTGTCAAATTTGTATTTCCTACAGTCATTTGTCCCTGGAATGTTGGTTATTATTATATATTTTATTATTCTTATTTTTTTTATGTGATTAGTTGGCAAATAAGCAAGCAGGTCACCAGATGAATGATATTGATAATTCTTTGTTAACATTACCAAATTCAAGTGAAAAACTGTGTTTAAATTTGAAATATGTACAGAACTTACATTTTCACGTGCTTTACCCACTAACTCAAGTATACAGAACTGTATTGAGGAAAGTTGTGGCAGATACAAAATGGGGACATGAGAGGCCAGGGCCTTCCATCTCTCTTCTAGTGTAGCAACAATTGCTAGACAGTCGCCATATGTTGCTACTACATATTCATATGACATTTCCGTGATTTTACATGTACTTATTGATATCCTTGTTTTGAAGTGAACTGATGAACCATATTCATTTTCAACAGGACAATATTCATATGGTCCATCTATATATTCAGTCTGCAAGTAATATAAATAATTATTGTAAAAAAAGCAGAATTATTTGACAAAATTAATGATTCAACCTTTTTTAGCCTATAACAGCATTTTAAATCTCACATTGTAAAAAATATACAAATGGAGTAAAGATTTGTTTTGTTAAAAGAAACTTCATTTTAAAAAACGGTAATGGTCAACTAAGCCAAATTTAAGCTTAGATGACCATTATCTCTGGCACATACCTTAAAAATTATCCAATTATCACTTTCATAATGTAAATGTGCCTTATTTATTGATATGATACAATTATACAATCTGGATAATTGTGGCATTATTTAAAAGACAAAATTATTCCTATAATCACTGTGACTGATAATGGTATTTGTGTAAAACTTGCTTGGGTGAACTAGTTATACAAAAATGAGCGAGTTTAAAATAATTTTATAACATAATAAAACCATTGTGTATTGACACATAGTATTCAGTTTATAAAATTGATTTCAATTTTCAATTATTCATGTTGGTTAATTGTTCCCATATTTAAATTGAATGGAAGGTATGGTAAGTCAACATGCCCTTTTATCACATACAAAATTTTTTAATTAATAAAGCAGAACATAAGTTAGAATATTTATGAAGTAAAAATATCCGCTCACACCAACTTTTCATAGAAAAAAGTAATTAAAACTTGTTACTTATACTAATAAATAAAAATAATGATTATTATTTTTATTATACATTTCTGTATTTTTAAATAAATCATCAAGTACTATTACAAATCTGTAAGCGAATAAATATAATGGTCTAGCAATACTCTCTGTATTGCTAGACCATTGCCAAAATATGATTTGCAAATAAATATTTTGTTGTATAATAAATATCTTTTTTTTATATGAAAAGTTGCCAAGCAAGCAGGCGGTTCACTTGATGTTAATAATTACCACCAGCCATGGACATCTGCTACACCCGAGGGTTGCATATGCATTAACAACCTTTTGTAAATTGGGCTCCGATTACTTCACTCACCAGACGAAATGCGGAAGTGTTATACTTCCACTTCACGCCAGTTTTTTGTGAGGTTGTGGTACTTACCCGGATGAGCCTACTTATTCATGCAACAGCCAAGGCTGCTGCGTGGCCCGTCCATGTTATAAATGTAAGATAAATAGTAGTATAACATACTAGGAACACTACAATGACTTAATTAAAATTTACTAACTGAAACATTTCGCAATTTATCATGAATGCATTAATTACTAACTATTAATGGTTATCAGCAAAAATGTTGAAAAAATTCAGAATTTGAAGACACATTTTAAAAACTTATGCTATGCTTACTGGATCAAGAAGTTGCCCCGAATCTTCATGTACGATTACAAATCTATCCATTAATTCAATATCGGGCATAGGTTGTGGTGTTTGATAGAATGATACATGTCGAAAATTTGAAATACATTTCCAAAATCGTATTTTCATCTTTTCAGTTATGGGTGAAGAAATTCTTTTTTCTAGGCGTTTCCATAGTAATTTTAATCCTATACCTTCAAGTCCCTCTAAGGCAATTTCGTCTATAAGAATTTCTTTGAAGTTAAAAGAAAATTGTTTTCGAAAACAGTTTTCCATAATTGTTGTTTTTATTTCCACTTAGGTAAGCAAATCGTATATAATTTATGCTTTCATGAACTTAAATCGTTAGACAACGATGATACTGATACATTATGATTTGGCTGTCGCCTCACGCCTGTCTTAATGTCTTTAATCAACTGTCACTTGTCATTGTCAGTGTCATAGGCCACCTGTCACTATCTAGTGTATCTTTAATGTTTTGCGCCCGGTTTCCGAAACAACTGACTGATCATCGTAGGAGTTAACTAATCAGATGTCTCGTGATCGAGCCCCCGCGAAGATCGGGAGTTGTGGCGCAGTGCCACAACTGCCAACACTATGGCCACACGGCTAATAATTGTTTCGCTCACCCTAGGTGCGTCAAATGCACCGGTGACCACGGCACGCCCGATTGTACGCGGCCAAAAGATTGCGCAGATCCACCGGACTCCGTTAACTGTCATACCACCGGCCACCCGGCTAGCTACAGGGGCTGCACTAAGGCCCTAAAAACTCCCGCGAGAAAAGCTCCCGCAAAATCTACTTTGCCCAAACCCGCGCCCGTGAAATACGTTCCCGCACCCGTACCCGTCGTAAACGCCTGGGCGAAACCCCAGGTGGCCGCGCAGGTAGTTGCGCCCCCGGTCGCCTCACGACCAATCGCTCCCGCCTATCAAACGGCGCCGACGCCGCAGGTGCAGTCGACACCATCGGTTTTCGCCGAAAACAAGGACGACCCGTTCGCCCAAATTGCCAACATCTGCGCCTTATTAGACCGCATTAATAGACAAGAACTCGCCGTATTGTCCGCTAAAATAGCGGCCGCCACATCTGGCAACGCGCGATTTAAAGCCATTAGCGAACATAAAATGCTTGTAGAAGCCCTCTGGGCATTTACAAGCCAACCATAAACTTAATAGTCCGCGCAATAAAACCGCGCTCCGCCGCGTCGTTAGTTAGAACTCATAAAAATCTTTAATGGGAAGTACAACCGCAGGTAGAACAAAACCTCGGGCTCTGGTTGTTTCGTATTTCAACGCAAACGGCATAAAGGGTCAAAGGGACGAAATCGCGGAATTCCTTCGCGATTATAACATAGATATTTTTCTAGTGCAAGAGACATTCTTAAAACTTAGTGTACGCGATCCCAGAATGGCAAACTACAACATAGTCCGCCACGACCGGTTAGCAAACCGTCTGGGAGGCACCTTAATTTATTACAAACGGTCCTTGCACTGTAGCCCGCTCGACATTCCAGAGCTAAGCCATATAGAGGCATCCGCGTGTAGGTTAGCGCTCACCGGCCATAGGCCGCTTGTACTAGTCTCAGCCTACCTCTCGGGGAACAAAACCTTATTACAAAGCGACCTAGATACGCTACTTAACTTAGGCCCTTCCGTGATAATTGCAGCAGATCTAAACTGCAAACACGGCTTATGGGACATCCACAGGCATGGGAAAGCATCTCTTTAGCTTATCCGATAATTTAAACTTTAGCATAATTGCTCCTGCGACTCCCACTAGGTATCCTACGGTGGACAACTACCAACACGCGACACCGAGTATCCTAGATATCATGTTACTCAAGGAGGTCTCGCTCGACATCGAGTCGATAGAGACAATCCATGAACTAGACTCAGATCACAGGCCCGTCCTGTGTAAATTGGGCCAGAACGCCGGCGCGGTCCCTCCGACCAAATCCGTAGTGGACTGGCATCGTCTTGAGGTCAAACTCAAGGCCTTGGACCCCCAGGACTTAGTCGACCTACCCGCGACGATAGCTACGTTCGATGACGCAAATCGAGCGATAGCAAGTCTTCGAGAAACCATCACTTCCACAGTCGCAGACTCTGAACGAACGGTTAAACTGTCGGGCGATCGACGGTTTAACTTTCCGCCCGACCTGCGACTCCTAATAAGGCAGAAAAATGCAGCCAAACGCGCTTTCGACCGATACCGATCGGAATCGAACCGAACCCTACTTCGACGCCTTCAGCTAGAAATCAAAGATCATAACGTGGGACACTCTCCTAGAGGACATCGAGCCATCGCACACCGCCTACTGGCGGTTGGTCCGCAGTCTGAAAGCAGACCCCCGCGAATCTCTACCGCCGTTAGTTAGACCTAATAGCGCTTCAGTAGCCCTAGATGACTCCGAAAAAGCCGAATGCCTTGCGGACAACCTAGAGCAGCAATGTACGCCATCGCGCGAACACATCGATACAGCCCACCTAACGGAGGTGGACCGCGTAATCGAGCTTAGGGCTGCGCTTCCACCGGAAGGCGATCCTTTGAATTCAGTGACCCCCGAAGAGGTTCAAGATATTATTAAAAACTTAAACCCCAAATCTGCCCCGGGCCCAGATAATATTAGTAACAAAATTCTTAAAGCTCTCCCTGGGCCGCTTATCTGTTTACTGGCGACCATTTACAATACTTTACTCTCCAGTTGCTCCTTTCCAGACGACTGGAAAGAAGCCAGGGTTATCGGCATTCGCAAGCCTAATAAACCAGCCAACCAGCCCTCTAGTTATCGTCCCATCAGCCTCCTCAGTTGCCTGGGGAAGCTCTACGAGCGGCTTTTATTAAACAGGCTCAATGAGCACGTGTTTTCCAACGGCCTTCTGCCGGCGGAACAATTCGGCTTTCGAGCTAGACACTCCTGTCCCGATCAACTATTCCGCCTAACGGAACATATCCTAAAAGGCCTAAATCACCCTAAACATATTAGTACAGGGGCTCTTTTCTTCGATGTCGCAAAAACATTCGACAAGGTCTGGCACAACGGCTTGCTTTACAAGCTGTACACACTCAAAGTGCCAGATAGGCTCGTACACACCATCCAGGCCTTCCTGTCGAACCGCTCTTTTCGATATCGAGTTGAAAGCACCCTCTCCACAAGCCGCCGCCTCACGGCCGGCGTACCACAAGGCTCCTGCCTCTCACCTTTGCTCTTTACGCTCTATACGAGCGATATACCTAAAGATCCCCACGTCAATCTCGCGCTTTTCGCGGATGACACGGCGCTCTTTTATTCAGACCGCAACCTTAGACAACTAACCGCTCGACTCCAAAGCGCTGCCGACCGCCTCGGCGATTGGTTCCGCAAATGGAGAATAGAAATAAATCCCGAAAAGAGTGTGGCGATTCACTTCACACAAAGTACTTACCCGTCACATCTTTATAATGGCCCTCGTCAATGCAGAAAGTTGGGGCAAATATCCCTTTATGGCCAACCGCTCCCCTGGGAGAAAAAGGTCAAATACTTAGGTGTCACTTTCGACTCGCGTATGTCATTTACTACGCACATTAATAACGTTCGCAATAGAGCCGCGTTCGTCTCCGGCCGGCTACACAATTTAACTAACGCTAAAAGTAAAAAGCCCTTAAGGCACAAATTACTATATAAGACCTGCGTACGATGCGTATTATGTCTTACGCATGCATGACCTTCGCCCACACGCACCCTACTCGCTTGTACAAGTTGCAAATAGTACAAAATAAGTTCATCCGCCGCGCAACCGGTGCGCAGTGGTATCAACGCAACGTCGACCTGCACAGCGATTGCAGACTCCTGACGATTCGCGAATATTTTAAAGACCTGACCAAACGGTTCTTCGATAGAGCCGAACATCATCCCAACCCTCTGGTGGTAAGCGCAGCAAATTACCAACCCGACCAAAACGCGAACGTCAACAAGCGTCGACCGCGAAACGTCCTAATCGACCCGGTCGAGGAAGGGGACTTAGACACGTCGGACCCACTGCCGGGGGTCCCGCCGCACAACACTACACTCACAGTTAGTGCAACAACAAACACACTAGTTCGCCCTCGCCTCCGAGCACGGCGAGACCAACACAACGCGTACACAAGGTACACCCGCGTTCCGGGGCGGTTCTCACCGCCCCCAGCCACCGATTAGCTAATTGCACAGTCGACTGCCATCGGGGTTTCGGTCCGAACCACGACCTCGATGTCCCTTAGATGACGTACCATAGTTAAACGCACGCATGAGCACATGCGTGGCCCTACCCACAGCGGAGGGCCCAAACCCGTGGGTTCTGGCTAGCCCACCGGTTCTGCGTCACATGAAGCTTTAATAGTCTCGGGACTGAAAGCAAAAACATCAGTTAATACAAGGTAATCAGATGTCATGGTTAAACTCTTTGAATTAATCATTTCGATCATTAAGATCAATTCAGAGAGTTTAACCATCCTTTTGGCAAGTTAAATAACATTTTAAAAGCCATTTGACAGCTGATTAGTTAACTTCTATGCGATGATCAGTATTTCAGAAAGCAGATGTTGGTGTTGCAAAATATTAGGAAGGGTTATGAGAAGAACAAAAAAGCGAAAATATCGCAGTATAATAGTTGATGACTTGTCCATTAAGGAGTAATCCAAAGACTTATACAGAGGCGGATTATCCTTAAGGCAAACTAAGCGAGGATACAAAGAGGCGCGCGGGCGGAATTGTAAAATAAAGAAGAAATAGGTATATAATATAGCATAAAATTTATTACGCCAGTAGTTAAGCTACTAATTTATAACAAAAGATAAACTTAACGGATGCGACTGACTAAAACTTGCGCCTACAAACAATCTTGTGGATGGTACATGGTCTCTAATTGAAGTAGCTGCTCTAGGTTGTTCGCAAGGTATTCGGCTTTTTCAGAGTCATCTAGGGTCAGTGAAGTGCTATTAGGCGGTAGGGATTCGCGGGGCTCTGCTTTCCCGCCAGAAGGCGGTGTGCGATGGCTCGATGTTTACTAGTAGAGCGTCCCACGTGGTTTGGCGTTGTT